GAAGCAGAGGACGCGTGGGCGCGTCGGGGGGCAGGCAAGGCAGGGGCCACAAACTATCATCCGGTGGGCCACAAATGGCCCCTGGGCCACATGTTTGAGACCCCTGGTCTAAATGAAATGTTTCTGGTGCCCAATCCAACTTGAGCTGGGTGCAAACTTCTGCAACAGGATTTTGTCCAGAGTGTCACTGTGACACAGGAAGGATGCATGCTGCAAGTCCACCACCACCCCACCAAGGAAGTAGATGTAGATAACCTTTGGCTATTAATATTTTATTAATTTAAAATATTCATTACCTGCCTTTCTTCTCAAGAGGGCCCAAGTGGGCTTACAATATTAAAACAAATAATATCAAAAACTATAACAAAAGCTAGTTATTCATAGAGTTGCCAGATGTCACTTGTTTTCTGGGTAGTCGGCTGATGACACTCTGGTTTCTGGGAGCCCATACTGCACTCCTTAGCCAAACCTAGGATTGCCCGATGTCCGGCAAAAGGAAGACATATCCTCCTTTTTAGCCTAATATCCTCTGTCTGGCAGGCAAAGATAAAAACCCTTAAAATGTCCAGCTTTTGTATATTTTATGTGATCGTTTTGAATGGGAGGGGAAGAGGTGGAAGGACCCCCCTACCCCTGTCTTTCCCCGCCCACACCCACCCGCCCCCGTTAACTGCTGCTCAGCTATCCGCCATGCCCGCCCAGCCCATGTGGAGCCCAGAAAGGCAGCACGAGCAGAGCGCCACCCGCCGAGCCAGGCAGGAACAAGCAGCGCCCGAGCGCCTGGACTGTGTGTGTTGTGTTCAAAGTCCCTTTCAGGGACTCCAACTTCCACACTCCCCAGCCTTGAACTTATGACCCTTGGGGGAGGGGAAGCTGCCTCATTCGGTTTTGCCCAGTGCCGCTTTCCCCCTGCCTGTGCCGGAGCCTTGTTTGGGCGTCCAGATTAGCAAGGTTGCCTCTGAGCCTGTGCAGAGTGAGAGCAGACAGGGGATCCCACAGCCAGGCCGGGGTGGGTTTGGGTACAATTGGCTGTTTAAATAATGTTTTCTGGTATTTTGAAAAAAAGCCTCCATTGAATTTATTTTTATTTTTTAACATGACTGTTTCTTGGTTGGTTCACTAAGAGACATTTATTGGCAGCTATTGTAATAGAATTTATTTATTGCGGGTTTAATCCAGAACGATTCAAATGAAACATTAAACACGTCCTCCTCTGTCCTCTTTTTTCTTTTTCTTTCTATGTCATCCTTTTGGTACTTATGTATCTGGCAACCCTAGTTATTCAGGAAAAACCTGCCTGAAGAGAAAGGTCTTTGCCTGTGTAAGACCAGAGGTGAGAGTAAGGCTCCTCTCACGGGAGTGCCGTCCCTCCCACCTACTGATGATAAAGAGAGTCAACCCCCGCCAATTCCCCCACCCAGAAAGACAAGACCACCTGGACCTGACCTGGGGAGGATAGAGGAGGAACTGAAAGAATTAACGGCCAAAGAGATCATGACTGTTTTGGCGGGAACAGGAAGAAAAGCGCGGGTAGTAGTGGAGGCGGGACCGGCAGGCATAAAAGGGGGTGGAGGAGGGCTTCCACCAGGCTGGGAGTGGATATGAGGGGAAGATCCCTGGACTGGAAAGGTGGAGAAGCTAAGGGTCTCAAAGGAGGAGGCTGATGCCAGGAGGAGGAGGGAGAACACCCGTAAGCCATCATACTGGGGAGAAAGGGAGACGAAGGAGTGGAGGAGAAAATTGAGGGAGGAGAAAGAGAAGGTTGAGAGGGAAAGAAGGGAGAGATTGGAATGGAGGCTCTGGGAGATGCAGCAGACGGAACGACGGGAGGACCCTGGCAGATGATCGATCCCGTCCAAGAGCTTGCCTGGGTGGACAACAGAGACGAGGACACAATCCCTTTCTTGGAAGGGGAGAATTGACCATTATTAAACCCGGGTGCATCTCAAACAGAGACGAGGACACAATCCCCTTGTTGAAGGGGGAGAACAGACTGTTATTAAGCTTGTATGCATCTCTGGACTGGCTGGGACCCTGGAACGTTCAAGAGGGAAACCCGTTTAAAGTTGATGGGTGGAAACTCCTGTCAGACCCGTTGTTTGACAGGGAGAAAGGTTGGAACACATTTGCTGATAGTGGATTTCACAACCACGATGCAATAAATGTTACTCCAATTTCACAACCACACATGTCTAGTGATTTATTCAGGGCAACCCAGGAGCCAAACCCTCACAGCCTGCCAGCAGAAAGATAGCAAAGATGAGGCCAGCCTGACAGGAGAGAGTTCCAGAATCTGGGAGCAGCGACAGGGAAGGCCCCGTCTTGTAAGGTAAAGGTAAAGGTTCCCCTTGACAATTTTTTTGTCCAGTAGTGTTCGACTATAGGGGGCGGTGCTCATCCCCGTTTCCAAGCCACAGAGCCAGCGTTTTGTCCGAAGATAATCTTCCGTGGTCACATGGCCAGTGCGACTTAGACACGGAACACTGTTACCTTCCCACCGAGGTGGTCCCTATTTATCTACTTGCATTTGCATGCTTTCGAACCGCTAGGTTGGCGGGAGCTGGGACAAGCGACGGGCGCTCACTCCGTCGCGTGGATTCGATCTTACGACTGCTCGGTCTTCTGACCCTGCAGCACAGGCTTCTGCGGTTTAGCCCACAGCGCCACCACGTCTCCAGGCCCCGTCTTGTATCCTTACCCAACTGAGGGTGGCGTGACCAAGAGAAAGACCTCCCCTGATCATATCAAAGCTTGGACAGGACCAAAGAGGGAGACACAGTCTCTCAGGCAGCTTAGACCCAAGTTGTTTAGTGTTTATCCATCAAAACCAGCACTTTGAATGATGTCCACAAACAGACCGGCAGCCAGTAGAGCTGTTGTAATGAGACAGCTATGTGATCCCTGGAATCAGCTCCAGTTAACAAACTGAAAGCCAAATTCTGGACCTGCTGACTTTTCTGAACATTTTCCAACAGCAGCCCCATGTCAAGCACGTTACATTAATCCAAACGGGATGCAACTGAGGCATGTATCACTGTGGTCAGATCAGACTTTTCCAAGAATGGGTTCACTGGTTTTAACTATGCAAATGTACTCCCGGCCACTGCCAAGATCTGAGCATCCAGGGTCAGACAGCACACCAAGCTGTAAACCTGTGTTTTCAGGGGGAACAATACCTTATCCATCTTGAATCCTTATTCCTTGATCTATCTTTCAACTGTTATTTCAGGTTCTTTCTCTTAACCGTCTCTTCTGATTTTATCCTTATTGCAGTAACAAGGAGACCTCCAACTCTCTAGATCAGTGCTTCTCATCCTTGGGTCCCCAGATGTTCCTGGACTAAAACTCCCAGAAGCCTTCCCCACCAGCTGTGCTGGCCAGGTTTTCTGGAAATTGTAGTCCAATAACATCTGGGGACCCAAGGTTGGGAACCGCTGCTCTAAATGCCGTTAGACCACAACTCCCATCACTTCTGACCATTGGCTGTCCTAGCTGGAGCAGATGGGAAACTGGAATCCAGCATCATCTGAAGGGCCGCATCCTTGTCACCTGTTAAATAAAGGGAACACCAGAAGTTCCCAAAACTTGAAAGCATTTCCAGGCTCGCCCCTTCTTTGCTGTTCTTTCCACTGGAAGGAAACCACCTTTCTCTTTAAGCAAGATAGCTGCTCTCTCCCTGTTCCTTTTCTAGGAATCCATCTCAATAGCAGAGCAGAGAACTGGGTTTACCGGTAATTCTTTGAGGCTGAGCATACATACCTCTGGTGAAGAACAGACAGAAGTTGCTTGCAGAAATCGTCTCCATTTTTGGAAAATCCTTTCAGATCCCGATATGCCCTGTCATACTGAAACACAACATACAGATGGAGACATGTTTCCAGCTTTTTAATATTTGGCAGTACTTCAAGAATGCACTAATTCTGCCTGCTATACAGTTCTGGGAAAAAACATCCTGGAACAGGAAGAGAGGGTGAGCACAGAGGGTGAGCGGCTGGGGAACGATTCTTCACAACAAGAGATGAGCACACTTTCGGCACAGAGATCCAGTCTTACTAAATGAAACTTGCAAAAGGGTGCTACACTTTTTAACAGACCAAGTGGTGAGACTGTGCTATATTTCTAAATATCTGGTTTTTTAAAAGGAAAAGAAAGACAGGAATTGATAGATGAGTGAATTATAATTTTTCCCTGGAATGAGACCAGAATCTCCACCCAAAGGAAACGATACCAGGGAGGCATTTACAAAATCAACACTCCTTCTGCAGCACCCACACGGACACCCACACCCTTCTCTTTCATCAGTCCATGGGATTGTGTTTGGAATCTAAACTTCAGATGATACAGCCCAGTGTTCCTTATTTCAGGATCCGTGGCGGTCTATCACCTTGGGAGACTGTGGAGCAAAACTACTTGTCAAACCTACCCGAAAGTATTTCCCAAGCATGCATGCATGCATGCATGCACAGACACACGCGCATGCACACTAAGCATACATGTGGGGCTAGGAAGGGGCTGGGAAGGTCTGAGAGAAATGATGTAGAGATTGTTGGCTGCTTGTCTCTTTTCAAACTAAAGGTTCTTTTCCTGCCCATCTTGTATGCTAGATTTATCTGCAATAAGAAGCCGTAAGACAGGAGGTGGAGTGGGAGGCAAACAAGAATAGTGTATTGAAGATGGAATATACATCAGTCCCTCCCCACAGTGGGGGTACACCGCAGGACGTTTGCCTCTGCCCACTCACAAAAGTCATTCCCAGGATGGCTGACTTGAACATCCAGATTTTCAGGAAGAGTGACATTCTAACACACAAGCAGACAACGCAACATGTTAAAGGAGTCTGTTCACAGCATGTTTCTGTGATCTCCTGACAACCCAGAGAGAAGAAGGATCATGTTTTGAATACTATTATGAATGGGTTCCTTTGTCACAGCAGCCAAAAAAAAGAAGGCCATGATGATCTACCATAGGAGGATCGGCCTAGCTCCACTCCTACTGTCTCTACTGCGTGTGTTTTGCAAAAGGGGTGAGGAACTGGCAACAAAAGGATTTTGTTTTCCAGTCTGTCCAGGGGAGGGGAGATCATGTTCTCTGAAGGGAAAAAAGTCTTCTGCATCTCTTCAGCGTAGCTTTTGGCTGGAAAAAAAAAAACCAAAGGTGGTGACCATTCAGCCCATTATTTTTATTTATTTTTATTTATTTTTGCTTATACCTGTATACTGTACCGTCCCATTAATGCACAGGACTATTCTGGGCGGTTTACATAAAACACTGATGCTAAAACCACAGCCACCATCACCATGACTATTTGCAGGCTGGATTTTTGAAAATTATTATGTAGCTTAAAAAAAGCTACCTACCCTTCATAACTATTTTCATCCCACCTTTCCATGAAAACTAATTCAGGTGGCTAACTGCAAATATTAAACAACAACCATAATAGCAGCAGAAATAATACAATACAACCATCCATCGCTACATTGCTAACTACAGTGGTGCCTCGCAAGACGATTGCCTCGCAGGACGATTAATCCAGAAGACAATTACCGGTAGTTTTGGGATCGCTGTTGCGCTTTGCAAGACAATGGTTTCCTATGGACAATTTTCGCAAGACGACGATTTTCCCCATTGGAACGCATTAAATAGATTTCAATGTTTTCCAATGGGGAACCGCGTTTCGCAAGATGATGTTTTCGCAAGACAGCGATTTTCACAGAACAAATTAACATCGTCTTGTGAGGCACCACTGTAGAGGTTAAGGTACAGTATAGCAGATTACTGGACAGGGTGTGAAAATTGCTCTTTTTTCAGAAAATATGGCATCAAACTGAAAGAAGCAAACTTTGGTTTGCTATCATTTCTTCCCAATTCGCTGGTGTGTGTCAAGAAAGTGTGAAATCTTCTTTTGCTAAAAACAACCCACTATATTAATACTTCATGATGGATGTTCAGATTCATGAGAGATTCCTCATATTGACAAAGCTCAACAGTACAGAAGGGCAGGTTGTTTATCTGTAACTAGTTCTTTGAGCTGTCATCAGTGAATTCGCACATACAGGTTCCTTTCACGCCTGTGCAAATGTCCCCAGAACTTTCTAGAGCCTCAGGAAAGTGTCAGGATATGCCCTCTCCACCTCTACATGCTCCCCAGCTTGAATCTAGCCTTCAGTCCCCCAAGCCTACTGCTGATTAAAAACAAACAAACCAGGAGTTACATGGGAGACTGAAGGAAGGATGGGTGGGTTGTGTGAATCTACCGATGACCACTCAAAGAACCACAGTTACAGGTAAGCAACCTTCCCAATTTCTTCGCCGTCTCTGTGAATTTCACATACGGGTGACCAGCAAACTCACTTACTGGCTGGTGGGATGTCATGCCAAAACATAGGGGAGATCATGGCTGTGCTGAATGCAGCCTCCATCTTAGCCCTGATGTCCAGTGACCAAATTGCTGCCTTGCATATGTATCCCATTTAAACTCCTCTGAGAAGCATGGTAGAGGCAGTGACTGCTCTGGTAAAACGGCTAGTAAAGTGGCAGAAAAGGCTAATCCAGACCAGGGAAAGTGTGGTATCTTGTTTCCTCCATTGGCTGTTGATGATGCTCGCCATCTTTCTTTACCTCCGGTGGACCCTTTCTCCTTAAGGCTTGAGCCTAAGTCAAAGGAAAATGTGCAAGATCACTCGTGACAAACTAGTGACTCTTCTATTTTGCACCTCTTGGACTGTGGTGACAAGTTGCCCGGTTTGCTGGGCAAAGTGTTTCAATTCAGGGGAACAGCCTGATCCTGGGACATCTCTCCTTCTGATGTGCCAAGCCCAGGCAAAGAAGATCACTGTGCTTCCTCGTCCTGCTAGTTTAGGGCCTTGGTCTGAAGCGAATGATGGTGAGGTGGCAATGGAAATGCCAAGAGTTTGGGTGCAGGTGTTTTACTCTTTGGTTTCTCAGTCTTTACATTTTGAGTCTCGGAGTAAGAATCAGGCCTTCCCCCCCCTTCCTTTTCTGCATCCAAGGTGGTAGTTTCAACGACTTTGAAGTTGAGGGCCTGTCCTCAGTATCAAGGGCTGGATTTTGTTGGCTAGGGGTGCTTTGAGTAGCTGAGTCCTTGATGGTTTTAGTGGAAGTTGTGTCAGTCTGGAGAGCCTCTATGAGAACTTTTCTTGATGGTGTTTTACAGATAAGAGGTGGCAGGAACTGAGGCCTCCTTAGCAATGGTGTCGACAGCCTGTAGAGACTATTCCCAAAGACAGAACATCAAAAGAGATAGGTGGTTCGTGGTTGCTACCATTGCGAATTTATGACAGAACTAACAATCTTGTGTCTGGTTGTGTCTATTGCCCTCACCAAAGCAACAGAGGTGCTTTCAGGGTCTGTCAATGGGGATGGTGGTATTGTTGCAGCTGACACCCCATTTAACAGGCCTGATGGGTCATAAAAAGGCAGTTATGGCCATTTATCAACAGACAATGATGAACGAACAACGGATAACTAACAATATAGATAAGGGATATCAATATACAGACTGCACCAATTATCAAAGGCTCTGAGATGCTCCTGATACATTCTCTCAGGGTGGGGAACATGCATGGCAGGGAGGGTGTGTCCTAACATCTTCCTTAGGCTCTAGAAGATTTCAAGGACATTTGTACAGGTGCAAAAAAACCTGCATCTGTGTGATTCACAGAGAACAAGAAAAGGACAACAGTTCTCAATGCGATTTGCTCTTGCAATATATAATGGATGCCAAGGAAAGAGGAAAGGTCAACTCTGGCAAGGAACACAAGCAGTCAAAACGCTTTCTCTTGAATTCTTCCACAGATATTTCAGATGGTACTTTCTAGGCTTAGACTGAAGAGATTAGGAAAAACCACTGGGCCACTCAGGTATAATCTAAACCAAATCCCTTATGAATACACAGTGGAAGTGAAGAACAGATTTAACCATGATTACTTCAGATGGAGACAGCAGCCCTGAAATTAAAAGGCGCCTTCTTCTTGGGAGGAAAGTGATGACAAATCTTGACAGCATCTTGAAAAGCAGAGACATCAGCTTGCCAACAAAAGTCCGAATAGTCAAAGCTATGGTTTTTCCTGTCGTGATGTATGGAAGTGAGAGCTGGACCATAAAGAAAGCAGACCGCCGAAGAATTGATGCCTTTGAATTGTGGTGCTGGAGGAGGCTCTTGAGAATCCCCTGGACTGCAAGGAGAACAAACCTATCAGTTCTAAAGGAAATCAACCCTGAATGCTCACTTGAACGACAGATCCTGAAGCTGAGGCTCCAGTACTTTGGCCATCTCATGAGAAGAAAAGAGTCCTTGGAAAAAACCTTGATGTTAGGAAGGTGTGATGGCAAGAGGAGAAGGGGACGACCAAGGATAAGATGGCTGGACAGTGTCTGCGAAGCAACCAACATGAACCTGACACAACTCCGGGAGGCAGTAGAAGACAGGAGGGCCTGGCGTGCTCTGGTCCATGGGGTCACGAAGAGTCGGACACGACTAAACGACTAAACACACACACACTTTCTAGGCACCTCCAAACTACATATAGGGCTCAGCTATGTGGATGTTTTCCCCAAGATGGTTTGTATCCATGTTCTTGTTCTTTCTCAGAGTGGTTCTAGAAAAGGAAACTGGAGTGTGAACCTTGAGGAAATGAGAAGACTGCACTTTCCCTTCAGGCTGCCTTTCTTATCAAAACCATCCTTTTTGAGTGGGTCAGATTACACCTAAAGGTCTATATGTATTTCCTGGTTTTACAGTATGATACCTCTAGAATGCAAATATTTCAAGGCAATGGTGCCTCAAACAAGAGACATGCAAACTAAGGCTTGCTCTCTCCCAGTTGGCCAATTATGAAACAAAGCAAGCTGATTTGCCAGATGCTGATTGAGGCAAATTCACATTAAAATAAGGCAGCAAAATCAGTGTCTCACCCAGTGAGGCCTTGAGCTGTTTTCCCCTCCCCAATCACAATCCTTTGCGTGTTTACTAAATAAATCCCATTGTGTTCAGTGGGACACAGTCCCAAGAAGGTTGGTTTAGAGATGGAAGCAGTATTCTACAAGTCAAGATACGAAGCCCAAAATGCAGACATTTGAAAGTTGTCAGAGCACTATAAATTATAGTCCATGACATTCTTTGGTAGTTTTAAATTATCTCCAGCGCTTTACATTGAGGGCTAGTGAAGGCAATGTTATTTATTTTATATTTTACTGTAGTGAGTTACATTTACATGCCACATCTAAAATATGTTGGATGGGTGATTTTTGTGAGATTTGGACCTTGTGGGGGCAATTTTTTAGCTTTTAAAAAGGATGAGGGGGGTTGTCTGTGAAAAAAGCAAGCAAGCAGGCAAAAAGCGACAAAGTTTTAAAGGTAAGAGGTAACAGTAGATCAATATTTTAAAAAAGATAATGTTTGCAACTTTTCTTAGGATTGTGGCC